AGAGGGCTGAAAGCCCTATGAAGCGGTATATAAGTCTAACTGCTATTGCTATTGCTATTGCTATTGCTATTGCTATTGAAGTCCACACTTCTGGAATAATTAGGGGAGACTGCTGCAATAGCTATGCAATTCCCAGGCCTGGGAAGAGGTGATAAATCTCAACTGGATTGCCTATATCAGCGGGGTAAAACTTGATTTCATTGAGGTCCACATCAAGGTGGTGTTTGACCTTGTGGGGATCAGAATGGGCGGGCCAGAGTGGGCATGGCCAGCTCGACATCACTCATGTTGGGGGCACCTGTGGCGGTCTGAGCACTCTGCCAGCGAAAATGGGCTCCCAAGCTCCGTTTCTGGCTGTGACAACCTCCTGCTGCCAGCAAAAATGCAGCTCAGCAGGGCCACGTGTGGCCCTCCCGAGCTCCGTTTTTCCTGGCAGAGGCACCATGGGCTGGTCCTTTACTGTTTCCAGGGCAGTCCCAGATCTAAGCACCCCGCGGGCCGCATCCAGCCCCTAGGCCTTGAGTTTGACACCCCTGACCTGGATAAATGATTGATATTAGAAGACCACTGGAAATTTTTGTGCTGTTTTGCACTTTTTAATAAGTTGCAAATCAATAAGATAGTCTTCCCTAACCCAGCATCTACCAGATACACAGGTAGTCATTATCTAACAGCCACTCATTAGCAACTGTTCAATATTATGAAATGAATGAAAGACTTACATACTGAATGAAAGACTTACAACCTGCAGCCTAAACTTACAGCTGTTGCAGGGCCCCCAGATGATTGTGATCTGGGCACTTGGCCACCCATTTGCACTTACAGCAGGTTGCCAGACTTCCCACAATCGTGTGAACACTATGTGGAATCTTCCCTGCCGGCTTTTCCAGATAGTCAACATTGGAGGGACTCCTTCACCCATCTTCTTTGGGAGCAAAAAAAAAACCCACTGTCTGATGGATTGATTTTGTCTGAGAAGGGTGGAGTTTCTTTGGCCAGCAGTATTTTTCCTCTCAGGGAGGCTCGGTGAAAAAGTTCCTTCACAAACAGACTTCTGGTCTCTTTGAGAGCAAAAGTGCCCAGTGCTGCAGTTCCCTTCTGCTAATGGAAGGGGGAGTTGCCTGGCTTCTTTTGTCTGTTTAACAACCTGCATGGTCGTTTAACGATGCAACAGAATGAGCCAGGATTGTGGTCATTGAGTGAGGCAGTCACATGGGCATCTCATTGACTTACGGCCTAAATTCAGGGCTCAATTGTGATCATAAATTGAGGNTGGAAGAAAATATGTGATCTCTCAATTAAATAATTATTTGTGAGCACACAGAAATATATTGTTTTTAAAGACTACTTTAAAAATAGTCTTTCTAATAGTAGATGTTTCTGAAGAAATATCCATCTGGTTCAGTTCCAAGCGGGCAGAAAGACACTGGAAACAAAATGGAGGCTGGAGGCTGATTGGAAAGAGGGTCCATTTATTGATGAAGCAGAACCAGAAAGCATGTGTAATTCTAGGTAGCTGGCCACATAGAGTGGAGAGTGGGGGTTATTTATACCCTCTCTGGGCTTTGAACTTGAGCTTCCTGTTCCCGTGGCAAGAGCGTGTATTCTATTGGCTGCTGTAGACTCCCATGGGGCCATGCGGGGTCATGTTTGTCTTGAAGTCAAGTTTGGTTGAAGTGTGCTGATGCAATGAAGGGGCTTGTTGGGCAATTCCTATTGTGGCTGAGAGCTAATCCTACCTTTGTTCAGAATATCCTGTCTTGAATGGATTAGCAAATCTGCATTTCCAAAAGTTGGCCCCTTAGTTTCTACTTAGGGCAGAGAGCTGAGGTTCTGAGTTTCTGTCTTTAGAAACATGTTTCTCCTTTAGAAAAAATACAATATTCTGCCTTTTTAAAATATTTCTCAAAATACTTCATTCTTCTAGGAGGGGTGGGTGCTAACTTTCTACATTACGAATAGCATATTCACAACTGTTCGCTTTAGAAATGTCTAAAGATAGTATTCCTAACAAATAAGTAGCAAGTTTACACAAAAAAAGATTGTTATTACCTCATCCCATAAATTAAAACAGCAGAATTAATGTTTGATTTAATTTTTTTCCCATTTCAGGCTGTGCCTCAGCACCTTTCACCTGGCCACATATCAGCCTTGGCAATGAAACAGAAGCTTGCTTTTACCAACCTCAGCTTTGAGGGAGATTCGAGGCATTCACCTTCTCTTCATTCTCAAATAAACACAACTACCATTGATCTTTCGGGTATCACGTGCCAAGAATGCATCCAATCCATAGAGGACAACATTTCCAAGTTATCAGGAATTGTGAATGTCAAGGGATCTCTTGAACAAAGCCAAGTAACCGTAAAATATTTGGGCCTGGAAATAAGCTCTCAGCAAATTTGCCAGGAAATTAAAAAACTGGGATTCGACGCCAATGTTGTAGAGGCAACCCAGACTTTAGGCCAATGGTCCAGTGAAGCTGTTATTAAGATGAAAATAGAAGGCATGACCTGCCAGTCTTGTGCCCATACTATTGAAGAAAACATTGGGAAATTACACGGGGTGAAGAAGATCAAAGTGTCCCTCAACAACCAAGAAGCCATCGTTGTTTACCATCCCCTTATTATTAAGCCCGAAGAACTAAAGAATAGCATAGACGGCATGGGATATGAATGCTCCATAAAACATAAGCAAGCCCCATTGGAACTAGGTTTCATTGATGTTGAACGCTTACAGCAGATAAATGTAAAAATGTCCAGTGAACATAACGGTGATGGAAATACTGGGGACAACACTGGATCCAGTACGTGCGTTGCAGTACTAGAAATCGAAGGAATGCATGACAGATCTTGTGTCAACGATATGGAGGGGTTGATTTCAGAGATGACTGGAGTACAGGGTACTAGGGTATCCCTGGAAGAAAAAAAGATTATTGTGTGGTTCGACCAAAAGCTCATCACTCCACCTTCATTGCAGCAAGCCATCCAAGCCATTACCCCTGGTAACTTTAACCTAGTTTTTTCTCGTGGAAAGGAAGGCCAAAATGGACTAATGATCTCAAATGTTGCCTCTTCCGTACCTTCCTTAAGTCACCTCTCCCAAGTACAGGGGGCAAATGGATGCAGTACAGCTCTCCTTAGAATTGATGGAATGACCTGCAATTCTTGTGTAAATTCTATTAAAGGCTCCATATCCCAAAAGAAAGGGATAATGCACATCTCTGTATCTTTAACTGAAGGTACCGCAGTTGTGTCTTACAATTCCATTATGACCAACTCTGAAGAGATACGAGCTGCTATAGAAGACATGGGATTTGATGCTTTTGTCCTAACAGGTATTGTATAAAACAGCCTTTTCTGCTATTGAATCAAGATGCATGAAAAGTCTTGTGTTAACTGATGAATTTTAAATACCTAAACATGCTTCTGATTGGGTTAAAATTTAGAACACAAATTTATAAGCCCCAGCCTAGGGTTAGAGGCTGTTAGGTCCTAAATGTGTACATGGCTTTAGAATTGGGTACATTCTATACACTAGTAAAATACAGAGTTTTAGTACTTAAAATTAAATAAGTATGCCAGGTGTCTTGAACGCCATATATTTAATTTAGAAACTGTGGCTATAGCTTTCCAGTAATATGGAAGACATGAGTTCCGTCCATGAAGACAATGAATTAAATTTCTCTCTCTTTTAGTTGCAGGGTTAGAGCTGTACTTGAAAGATAAAAAGGATGCTTGAATAATCTGTAAATAAATAGAAACTAATTCTCAGTTCCTTCAGAAATAGTTAGAAGCTAATTTTCATGTTACTGTTTTTAAACCCACCAGATTTTGTAGACAGCCATGTTCTGTGCAGGAAGGCAAAAACTATACCCAGCACAGTCTTCCTTTGTCATATCCATAATCCCATTATTAACATTCTGGGCTGCTGATGGAATATCCATCATGTGCAGGATAAGATCATGGTAACTTGTTGTCTTTTAACACAACAAAACGTTTGAATAAGATTTGTAGATTTGTAGATTTATTATAATTTATAGGCTGCCCTTTTCCCTGAGGGGACTCAGGGCGGCTTACAACAACACGGGAAAGGGGGTACAAAGACAAAAAGCATAAGACAGTACATAATATTAAAAAATAGAGCACAACATTCATTCATCATTCGGGAGGGGACAAACTAAGATTTT